ATGGTGGATGGTGATGGTGATGGTGATGGTGATGGTGATGGTGATGATGATGATGATGATGATGATGATGATGATGATGATGATGATGATGACGATGGTGATGGTGATGGTGATGGTGATGGTGATGATGACGATGATGATGATGATGATGATGATGATGGTGATGGTGATGGTGATGGTGATGATGATGATTATGATGGTGATGGTGATGGCGATGATGGTGATGATGGTGATAAGGGTGATGATGGTGATGATCGTGATGACGATGATGATGGCGATGATGATGACGATGGTGCTGGTGCTGGTGCTGGTGATGGTGATGGTGGATGATTGATGGTGATGATGATGTTGCTTATGATTCTAATTCTACTCTGCGCGGGGTCTCTGCTCTAGGCACGCCGCTTCACGACAGCACCACAAACAAGTGGAAGCCGAAGGCGAGGAAGACAATGATGAAGTACACCCGCGCGAATGCCGCCCGCCGTGCGTAATACAAACTGCCACTCCAGCAACACTCCCAAGGTATGTGGCGAGCTCACGCTTCTTGCAACCACCAGCAAGAGAAGAAATTCATATTACACAAAACACGAAACACCCTGCTGAAATACTGTAGCAAAGCCGCCAGCCATGACCACCACACCGCCACAACGCCGCGTAGAGAAAACGCGAGCGCACATGATGAAGAACACCGCCAGCACCAGCACGACAACGAAGAAGAGCCAGGATGCGAATGGCACGCAGAAAGCCTAGGCCGAAGGCCCCATCCACATCGCGACAAACACACTTGACTCCACCAGCCGCCGATAAGGCACAAGGGCACACCAGGCCCTGGGCTAGGGGAATGCTAGCCGCCACGGCTCGTCCCTCGAGCCCCGCACAAAAAAACACTGAGCCAACTCCCTCCAGAAAATCAACTGAACAAAGACCAATCCAGTAGAAACGAGCCCAGCCCCGCATTGTAATAACAAAAACGCCTCGAAAAAGGTACCGACGTCAGGATCACACCGTGCACTTGCACGCCCAGCAGCTCGCCAACCAAGAAGCACAGCCCCATGAACACGAGGAAAACCACCTGGAAGGCGAAGAGCAGCAGCATGCACTCGAAGTGGGAGGCATGCGAATTCAACCCGGCGTTGCCAGGAGCACCTGGACCTCGAGCGGCAGGGAGCGGCGCACCACCCCACATTAAGCCCCGGGATGACGGCCGAGCGGCGCTGCGGGGGCCCACTCGAGCCGACGTGGCTTGAGTGATGATGATGATGATGATGATGATGATGATGATGATGATGATGATGATGATGATGGTGGTGGTGGTGGTGATGATGGTGATGGTGATGGTGATGGTGATGGTGATGATAATGATGATGATGGCGATGAGGATGATGATTATGATGATGCTGATGGTTTTGAAACTGTTGATGGTGATGATGACGATGATGGTGATGATGATGATGGTGTTTTTAATTGAATCGCTTCGCTCATTCCGCCGGCCCGTATTGTGCCATCGCGGGGTCTTGGGGGGTCTTGGGGGCCTTTGGAAGCTTCGTGGGAGCTTCTTGGGAACTTTGGGAGGCCTCGTGGATGGCTCTGGGTGGGCCCTCTTGGTGGTCTCTTGGGGGGGTCTGCCTGGCCTCTTGGGGGCCTCCTGGGAGCTTCCTGGGGGTCTCTTGGGGGCCTCTTGGGGCTTTCTTGCGGCCTGTTGGGGGCCTCTTGGGGCTCTCTTGGGGGCTTCGTGGGGCTACTTGGGGGCTTGTAGGGGCATTTCGGGGGCGTGTTTGGGCGGGAGGCTCAAAATTTCCGTTCAGGTTGCCCCTGTGGACCTCAATCATGGGGCCGTCTTGGGGCCTCTTGGACCGTCTTGAGGGTTTCTTGGGCCTTCTTGGAGCGCTGTTGGGCCGTCTTTGAGCGGTCTTGAGGGTCTCTCGGGCCGTCTTGGGGTGATCTTGGGGGCCTCTTGGACCGCCTTGAAAGGTGTGAAAGACGAAGAGGCGGATATGTTAAAAATGCACGCTTTCCTAAGGGAATGAGACGATTTTTGCTTGTGGGAGCCCTCTTGGGACGCCGCTTAGGGACCTCTTGGGGCGTCTTGAAGGCCTGTTGGGCCGTCTTGAGGCCATCGTAGGCGTTTGGGGGTGATATTTCGGCGTCTCCCGGCTCTCTTGGACCGTCTGGAGGGCTTCTCGGGCCCCTCTTGGACCGATTTGGAGCCCTCCTGGGCTCCGAAAAAGAGTTCTTGAGGGTTTCTTGGGCCTTCTTGGAGCGCTCTTGGGCCGTCTTTGAGCGGTCTAGAGGGTCTCTCGGGCCGTCTTGGGGTGATCTTGGGGGCCTCTTGGACCGCCTTGAAAGGTGTGAAAGACGAAGAGGCGGATATGTTAAAAATGCACGTTTTCCTCAGGGAATGAGACGATGTTTGCTAGTGGGAGCCCTCTTGGGACGCCGCTTAAGGACCTCTTGGGGCGTCTTGAAGGCCTGTTGGGCCGTCTTGAGGCCATCGTAGGCGTTTGGGGGTGATATTTCGGCGTCTCCCGGCTCTCTTGAACCGTCTGGAGGGCTTCTCGGGCCCCTCTTGGACCGATTTGGAGCCCTCCTGGGCTCCGAAAAAGAGTTCTTGAGGGTTTCTTGGGCCTTCTTGGAGCGCTCTTGGGCCGTCTTTGAGCGGTCTAGAGGGTCTCTCGGGCCGTCTTGGGGTGATCTTGGGGGCCTCTTGGACCGCCTTGAAAGGTGTGAAAGACGAAGAGGCGGATATGTTAAAAATGCACGCTTTCCGAAGGGAATGAGACGATTTTTGCTTGTGGGAGCCCTCTTGGGACGCCGCTTAAGGGACCTCTTAGGGACCTCTTGGGGCGTCTTGAAGGCTTGTTGGGCCGTCTTGAGGCCATCGTAGGCGTTTGGGGTGATATTTCGGCGTCTCCCGGCTCTCTTGGACCGTCTGGAGGGCTTCTCGGGCCCCTCTTGGACCGATTTGGAGCCCTCCTGGGCTCCGAAAAAGAGTTCTTGAGGGTTTCTTGGGCCTTCTTGGAGCGCTCTTGGGCCGTCTTTGAGCGGTCTTGAGGGTCTCTCGGGCCGTCTTGGGGTGATCTTGGGGGCCTCTTGGACCGCCTTGAAAGGTGTGAAAGACGAAGAGGCGGATATGTTAAAATGCACGTTTTCCCTGAGGGAATGGGACGATTTTTGCTTGTGGGAGCCCTCTTGGGGCGCCGCTTAGGGACCTCTTGGGGCGTCTTGAAGGCCTGTTGGGCCGTCTTGAGGCCATCGTAGGCGTTTGGGAGTGATATTTCGGCGTCTCCCGGCACTCTTGGACCGTCTGGAGGGCTTGCCGGGACCTTGCCGGGACCTTGCCGAGACCTTGCCAGGACTTTGCCGGGACCTTGCCGGGACCTTGCCAGGACCTTGCCGGGACCTTGCCGGGACCTTGCCGGGGTACTTTTCGTCCGGGGACCCCCAGGGCCTGCCCCGCGCGCGCGAACTAGAAATATTGGTGAGCAGTTACCGGAGATCTTAGCACGCCTCTGGCCCGTTGGGCCGGCGAATTATGGTGGTCGTGGTGGTAGTGGTGATGATGATGATGCTGATGATGATGATGATGATGATGATGATGATGATGATGATGATGATGATGATGACGATGGTGGTGGTGCTGATGATGCTGGTGAGGATGACGATGATGATGACGATGATGACGAGGATGGTGATGATGATGATGATGACGAGGATGCTGATAAGGATGATGATGCTGATGATGCTGATCGTGATGATGATGATTACGAGTACGAGTATGATGATGGTGGTGATGATGATGATGTTGATGATGATGATGATGATGCTGATGATGATGATGATGATGGTGATGGTGATGGTGATGGTGATGGTGATGGTGATGGTGATGGTGATGGTGATGATGATGACGACGAGGACGAGGAGGCGGAGGAGGAGGAGGAGGAGCAGAGGAAGAGGGGGAAGAGAAGGAGGAGGAGGACCAATATTAATCAACGATGTTGGAATCCACCCTCCTTCCAAGCTACCTCTTCACAGGCCCCTTAGTGCCCCGTTGGGAGATAGCCGTGCGATGATCTTGAAGCGCGCCAAGACACCTTTCTCAGGACTTGAATGCCAAGAGTTAACCTGACCGTCGCGTCTTGACGATCCTAAATCGTGCCAGAACACCATTCTTGGAATATCAACACCCGAATCAACTTGACTGTTGTGTCCTGACAATCCTAACTGTTCCAAAACACCGTTCCTCGAAAAGTTTGTTGTTCCATAAACGAATGTGTGTGTGGCGCTAATGCGAGAGCCACATCTGGAAAACGGCCCGCCCTCAATCCGTAAAGCTCTTGCAAAGTATTCCAGCGAATGTGCGCGGCGCTGAGGCGAGAGCCGCATTCAAAAAACGACTCGCCCTCAATCCGTGAAACTCTTGGGAGGGGGAGGAGGAGGAGGAGGAGGAGGAGGAGGAGGAGGCGCACGAGGAGGAGGGGAGGACCCAGACGATCCAGCCCCTCGCGCACGGAGTCCCTGGCCTCCCTTCTTTTGGCTGCTCCTCATCCAGCCTCTTCGCCGCCCCCTCCCTCCATCCTGGAGGTGGCCTGGCGCGGGGCGGGGGCATCGATCTTTTTTGCGGGAGCTGGCAGGCTGGCGCAGGCCGAAAGCGACGACGGCGGCGACACGCGACGGCGGCAGCGACCGCGAGGACGGCGGCGGCTCCACCGCGGCGGCGGCGACGGCGGCGGCGGCGCCGCCGCGCAGCCCCGCCGCGGGGAGCTCCCCTGGGGGCCCGAGAGCCCCTGGGCGGGGCCCGGCGCTGGCAGGGCGCAGGACGGCTCCCCCCATCCCTCCTCCATTCTCCTCCCTCCCTTCTCCGCCCTCCTCCCTCTCTCCTCCTCCCTCCCTGCCTCCCTCCATCCTCCCTCCCTCCCTCCATCCTATCTCTCTCTCTCTCTCTCTCCCTCTCTGCCTCCTCGGCGGCGGCGGGGAGGAGTCCCCCCCCCTTGCCCCTGCAGGCAAGGACCAGATCCCGTTCGAGGATATCCTGGACGCCGAGCTGGCGATATTGCAGAAGCTGCGCTTCCGCGTCGGCACGCCGACCGCGCACGACTTCCTCGAGACGTTAGGAGCCAGCCGGCCGGGGTCGGAGGTCCTCCCTTCTGCCTCCTCCCTTCTCCCTCTTCCCTTCTCCTCCTTCCCCCTCATCCTCGTCTTCTCCTCCTCCTCCTCCTCCTCCTCCTCCTCCTCCTCCTCCTCCTCTCCTCCTCCTCCTCCTCCTCCTCTCCTCTTCCGCCTCCCCTCCTCCTCTTCCTCCTCCTCCTCCTCCTCCTCCTCATCCTCCTCCTCCTCTGCCTCTCCTCCTCCTCCTCTTCCTCATCCTCCTCCCATCCTCTTTCCTCCTCCTCATCCTTCCCCTCCTCGCCGCCTCCTCCTCCTTCCTCCTTCCTCCCTCCTTCCTCCCTCATCCTCGTCCTCCTCCTCCCTCATCCTCATCCTCGTCTTCCTCTCCTCCTCCTCCTCCCTCCTCCTCCTCCTCCTCCTTCTCCTCATCCTCCTCCTCCTCCTCCTCCCGAATCCGTGCTTCGGTGCGGAGCGTCTGCGCGCCTCGTCTCCGTCGTCGTCGTCCTCGTCCTCGTCCTCGTCCTCGTTATCGTCGGCGTCGTCGTGGTCGTGGTGCGTGTTGCTCTGCTCGGGACTTGTTTCCCTAACGCAATGACCTCCACCACCCACCCTCGCTCCTCCCTCCTCGCTTCCTCCCTCCTCCTTACTCCTTTTTTTTTTCCATCCTTCCTCCACCCTCCTCCCTCCGCCCTCCTCCCTACCTCCCTCCCTCTTCCTTCCTCTTCCTCGTTATCTCCTTCCTCCTTCCTTTCCTTCCTTCCTTCCTTCCTTCCCTTCCTTCCTTCCTTCCTCTCCTCCTCCTCCTTCGCCTAATCTCCTCATACTCCTCTTCCTTCCTCATCCCCTCGTCCTCCTCCTCCGCCTCCTCCCCTCCTCCTTATCCTCCTCCTCCTTCTCCTCCTCTCCTCCTCCTCATCTCCTCTCCCCTTCTCGTCCTCCTTTTAGCACAAGTGGCCTTGGTGAGCATAAGGAGGAGGAGGAGGAGGAGGAGGAGGCGGAGGAGGAGGAGGAGGAGGGCGAGGACGAAGAGAAAAATGAGGAGGCGAAGCAGGAGAAGGAGGAAGAAACTAAGAAAAAAAGCAGACGCGGAGGAGGAGGAGGAGGAGGAGGAGGAAGAGGAGGAGGAGGAGGAAGAGGTAGGATGGAAGAGGAGAGGAGGAGGATGAGGAGGGGGAGGAGGAGGAGGAGGAGGAGGAGGAGGAGGAGGGGAGGAGGAGGAGGAGGAGTAGGAGGAGGAGGAGGAGGAGGAGGAGGAGGAGGAGGCGGGAGGGAGGAGGACATGGAGGAGGAGGAGGAGGAGGAAATGGATGAGGAAATGGAGGAGGAGGAGGAGGAGGAGGGAAAGGAGGAGGAAGGAGGAGGAGGAGGAGGAGGAGGAGGAGGGGAGGAGGAACGAGGAGGGGAGGAGGAGGAGGCGGAGGAGGAGGAGCGGAGGAGGAGGAGGAGGAAGGAGGGAGGAGGATGAGGAGGGAGTAAGAACAGGAAGGAGGAGGGAGGAGGTGGAGGAAGGAGGAAGGAGAGGAAGAGGAAGGAGGAGGAGGAGGAGGAGGAGGAGGAGGAGGAGGGAGGAGCAGGAGGCGGAGGAGGCGGCGGAGGAGGAGGAGTGAGGAGGAGGAGGAGGAGGAGGAGGGAGGAGGAGAGGAGGAGGAGGAGGAGGAAGAGGAGGAGGAGTAGGAGGGAGGAGAGGCGGAGGAGGAGGAGGAGGGAAGAGGGGAACCTCACTCGGGCCACCACGCCGCGCCCTCCTGGGCTGCTTGTGGCCTGTCGGTGTTGGTCGGTTTGTTCGGTGATCGATTGTGTTGTCGTAGTGGATGGCCTTAGAGGAGGAGGAGGAGAAGAAGGAGGAGTAGATGCAAGACGAGATGGAGGAGGAGGAGGAGGAGGAGGAGGAGAAGAAGGAGGAAGTGGAGGAGGAGGAGGAGGAGCAGGCGAGAAGGAGGTGGAGGAGGAGATGCAAGAGGAGGAGGAGGAGGAGGAGGAGAGGAGGAGGAGGAGGGGGAGGAGGAGGAGGAGGGAGGAGGAGGCGGAGGAGGTGCAAGAGGAGATGGAGGAGGAGGAGGAGGAGGAAAGAGGAGGAGGATGAGGAGGAAGGAGGAGGAGGAGGAGGAGGAGGAGGAGGAGGAGGAGGAGGAGGAGGGAGGAGGAGGAGGAGGAGGAGGAGGAGCAGGAGGGAGGATGAAGGAGGAGGGGGAGTGGGCCGCCAAGCCCCACTGCAGACACCCGACTCAAGCACGAGTACGCGTCGGACGCCTGCCTGAACCTGGCCGACTTCCTGCTGCAGCTGTCGCTGTCGGACGCGTCGCTGCACTACAAGCGACCCCGACTGGCCAAGGAGGAGGACGATGAGGAGGATAAAAGACAAAGAGTTCTATGTTCTTCGTCCGTTCTCGACGGCTTTCTATCCTCTGGATGCTGTCCGGCAGATGGTCCCAGCGGTGTCCGAATCGACCCGAAAGGCCGCTGGAGACCCGAGTTTTGATCCGAAAGCCAGCCGACGAGGATCACCAAGGGTTTCCGCGGTTTGGTCGGTTCGGCCGTGTCGCAGTACGTTGCGTTCGGTCGGCTCGGCTCGGTCGGTTGGTTGTGTCGTTGCTGCGTCGCTGCGCCCCTCTAGGCTGGTTGTGGCATGTCGTTTTTGGTCGGTGTCTGTTTCGGTGTCGGTTTGGTCGGTTTTCCTGTGTGATGTCGCCGTGAGTGGCCTTGGAGGAGGAAGAGGAGGAGGAGGAGAAGGAGGAGGAAGAGGAAGAGGAGGAGGAGAAGGAGGAGGAGGAGGAGGAGGAAGAGGAAGAGGAGGTGAAGGAGGAGGAGGAGGAGGAGTAGGAGGAGAAGCAAGAGGAGGTTGAGGGGGAGGAGGAGGAACGAGGAGGAGGAGGAGGAGGAGGCCGGTGCCCACGACTCAAAGCGCTTCCAAATCTTCCAACGATGGCCGAAGGAGCGTCGAACCGTCTAGACGGCGGGAAGCGCGCTGAAAGGAGGTCGAATTTCAGTCTGGAAGTCCCGAACTTTGCACCATTTTTGTGCATTTTGGCCCGGAGCGTACTTTGCCTGGTCCAATCGCTGCCTGGAAATCTTCATCCTCTTTCTTCTCCTCGACTCCATCCTCTGCCTCCTCCGACTCATTCTCCTCCCACGCCTCCTCCACATTCCCCTCCTCCTCGTCCTCCGCCTCCGCCTCCTCCTCCTCCTCCTCCTCCTCCTCCTCCTCTTCTCCTCCCTCCTCCTCCTCCTCCTCCTCCTCCTCCTCCTCCTCCTCCTCCTCCTCCTCCTCCTCCTCCTCCTCCTCCTCCTCCCCCATCATCTTGTTGTACGGCCCGTGCACCTCCCCACAAGAGCCGGCGTGCATCCCCCGGAAGCAACGAATGCCTCCCCCCGAGGACCGACCAGCACCCAGCGTGCCTCTATCCTTCGGAAAGCTCTTCCTCTCATCCTCATCCTTCGGAAAGCTCTTCCTCATCCTTCTCATCCTCATCCTTCTCATCCTCATCCTTCGGAAAGCTCTTCCTCGTCCTTCTCATCGGTTTCCCACCATCCTAAGTGGGCTTCGTGTTTTTCTGGACACCCCGCACAGGAGCAGGAACTCACCTTCATCATCATCAGCAGCAGCATCATCATCATCATCATCATCATCAGCAGCAGCAGCATCATCATCAGCAGCATCATCATCAGCATCATCACCACCACTCATTCGCTCACCCTGACACTCTCACATCTTTTATTCACTCACCCACTCCTATTCATTCATCACTCACTCACTCACTCACTCACTCACTCACTCACTCACTCACTCACTCACTCATCCACCAGCACACCATGATCATCACCATCACCACCATCATCATCATCATCATCATCATCATCATCATCATCATCATCATCACCATCACCATCACCATCACCATCACCATCACCATCACCACCACCACCACCACCACCACCACCACTACCATCACCATCTCACACGCACGCACGCACCCATTCATGCTCTCTCTCTCTCTCTCTCATACACACTCACACACTCATCTTGAGGAAATCTCGAGCGGGAGCCTCGTCTGAGAGCGACATGCGAAAAAGTCTCAGGCGGGAGCCCCCTCCCGATGGATCCCGCAACTCATGTTTTTGTTATCCGAGCAGTCCATCCTAAAACTTGTAACTGTCGTCACTTTTGGGCTCCCCTGGCCTGAAGACGGAGGAAGTCTCAGGCAGGAGCCTCGTCCATGAGAGAATTTCGAGGAAGTCTCCGGCGGGAGCCCCCTCCCTATGGGACCCGCGTTTCATGTTTTCAATCCGAGCGGGTCATCCTAAAACTTGTAATTGTCGTCGCTTCTGGGCCCCACAGGCTGGAATATGGAGGAAGTCTCAGGCGGGAGCCTCGTCTGTGAGTGAATCGCGAAGAAGCCTCAGGCGGTAACCGTCTACCTATGGGTCCCGCACCTTATGTTTTTCCTTACCTAGGCTCTGCCTAGAAGGGTTCTTACTCTCTGAGCTTAAAGGGGCCGGGCATTGCAAATCGCCCCGGGCGGTTCCCCCGGTATCCGCCCCGCGGTTCCCCCAGTTACGTCCCCTTAGCTTAGCGTTGCTTTCTCATCTTTGCTTAGCTTGTTTCATCTTAGTTTAGCTTAGCTTCATCTTAGCTCAGGTTTATCTTAGCTTAGCTTACCTTCATTCCTACCTAGGCTCTGCCTAAAAGGGTTCTTACTCTCTGGGCTTAAAGGGGCCGGGCAGTGCTAATCGCCCCTGGCGGTTCCCCCGGTATCAGCCCCGCGGTTCCCCCAGTTACGTCCCCTTAGCTTAGCGTCGCTTATCTCATCTTAGCTTAGCTTACTTCATCTTAGCTTAGCTTCATCTTAGCTCAGGTTTATCTTAGCTTAGCTTATTTCATATTAGCTTCGTTGAGTTTTAGCATAGCAGAGCACCGCATAGCATAGCGTAGCGTAGCATAGCATAGCGCAGCATAGCATATCATAGCATAGCCCAGCATAGCATAGCATAGCGCAGCATAGCATAGCATAGCGTAGCATAGCATAGCATAGCATAGCATAGCGCAGCACAGCACAGCACAGCATAGCACAGCGCAGCATAGCATAGCATAGCATAACAGAGCAGAGCATAGCATAGCATAGCAGCAAAGCAAAGGCAAAGCAACAACAGCGACAGCAAAGCAAAGCACAAGCAACGCAAAGCAACGCAAAGCAAAAGCAAAGCAAAGCTAGGTAGGGTCGCACTGGGGTAATTTAATCCAGGCGGATCTTCCTACAATTTGTAACTGTCGTCACTTTTGGGCTCCCCAGCTTCAATATGGAGGGAATATCAAGCGGGAGCCTCGTCTGTGAGTGAATCGCGAGGAAGTATCAGGCGGGAGCCCCCTCCCTATGGGACTCCCCCAACGGCTTCGCGATCCGGCCATCAGAAAGCGCGCCCATGCCAGCCACGGCGGCAACCAACGGCGCCGAGGAAAATCGGCTTGCCCCGGAAAGGAGGCAGGGGATGTGCATGGGGAGAACAGGCAGGAAGAGGATAAGAGATGGAGAATGAGGAGGATGGCAAGGAGGAGGAGGAAGAGGAGGAGGAGGAGGAGAAGGAGGAGGAGGAGGAAAAGGGGGAGGAGGAGGAGGAGGAGGAAGAGGAGGAGGAGGAGGAGGAAGAAGAGGAGGAGGAGTGCAAGGAGAAGGGGGAGGACGAGAAGAAGTAGGAGACGGAGGGCGAAGATGACGAGGAGGGGGAAGGAGGAGGAGGAGGAGGAGGAAGCGCGACAGAAGGCGGGAGGAGGGCCTCCGCCAAGGCGAAGCGGAAAAAGAGAGGGGCAAGCAGAAAATATTTTCGTGTGGGGTCCTATCGTTGGAGCAATCGTGGCCCATGCACCTGCCCACAAGACCAGGCGTGCCTCTCTGGGAAGCCTTCCTGATCTTCGACCAGCAACCAGCACGCCTCGCCAGACACCCTCCGAGAGGAATTATAGATATTTATAATGTATACTAATTCTAAAGCTGATAATGATACTAAAAATAATAATAATGATAATGTTTATGATACGCGAGTGATAACAATGATAATGTTAGCACTCGCAATGTTGATAATTATAATTATGACAATACCAATAATAATACCCATAATACCAATCATGAGAATAATCAGTACCATAGTAGTAATAGTAGTCGTAGTATTAGTAGTAGTAGTAGTAGTAGTAGTAGTAGTAGTAGTAGTAGTAGTAGTAGTAGTAGTAGTAGTAGTAAGTAGTAGTAGTAGTAGTAGTAGTAGTAGTAGTAGTAGTAGTAGTAGTAGTTGTTGTTGTTGTTGTTGTAGTTGTAGTAGTAGTAGTAGCAGTAGTAGTAATAATAATAAGTAGTAAGTAGTAAGTAGTACGTAGTGAGTAGTAAGTAGTAAGTAGTAGTAGTAAGTAGTCGTAGTAGTAGTAGTAATAATTCTAGTAGTAGTAATAGTAGTAATAGTAGTAATAGTAGTAGTAGTAGTAGTAGTAGTAGTAGTAGTAGTAGTAGTAGTAGTAGTAGTAGTAGTAGTAGTAGTAGTAGTAATAGTAGCAGTAAAAATGGAGGTCCAGATCTGCCGACCCGTTCCCTGGGGGTATTTGTTTCGCCCCAGATCCATGAGTGATGTTCCCAGAGCCCGATAACGGACCCCCGGGGCCGAAATCGAAGAGAAATGCCGAGACTGAAAAGAAAAACATCGTCGGAGACTTGGGCGTCTCTCCTCCCAAGCTCTTCTTCTTCTCGGATAATCCACGCACTTGCTTTCGCACTCTCCTCTTGCCAGGGGGTCCTGCCCCGCATTGCCTGGCCCCCCGGCGGCGACCGTTTCGCTTGCAGTCGCGCCGCGGCACCTGCCGCCGACATGCTGTTGCGCGTGCTTGTGCATGCCGTCGTGGCGCAAGGAAGAGAACGAATGAAGGCGAGAGGAATCACTTCGGCAGCAATGCCGATGGTGAGAAGAGCCTCGGCGCTGCCGAAGTTTGTGCTTATGCGTGTTCTGCAGGTGCACCCGAGCGGCCCCGAGAGAGGCCCCTTCCCGGGGTCCATCCTGGCGCAGTCATCGAGCTGCGCCCAGCCGTGGCGACGAGCGCCTCCAAGAACGCCCAGAGCCCTCCGAGACGACGACGTCGTCGACGACGTCGACGTCGAGACGGTGCCCGGGGGGCCCGGGGACATCCGCGCAGGCGTTCTGAGGCCCACGAGATGGCCCACGGCGCCCAGAAGCCTCCATCCTCGATCGCCGGGGCCGAAGATTGTCGACGAGACCGAGAGGACCCGCGACGACGACGACGACGGCGACGACGACGACGGCGACGACGACGACGACGTCGTCGTGGTTTGCCCCCCCCAGCACCTCGTTTCCCGCCCCTGCCAGCCTGGATCAGGCTTTTGGGGCGGCGGGGATTCGGGCGGAAGTGGGCGGAAAAGGAAGCGCAGTCTGCTTTTGTTAGGGGCGAGGAGGGATCTGGGTAGCAAGGGGCCGGAATGGGCGGGGAGGGAGGTGTTTGGGAGGTGGTCCCGCCCCAAACCTGGCGTTCTTGGGGGGGGCCTCGCGGGGAATTGCGCCCCGCACGCGGCCGCCCACGCGATCGCCCGCGACGCAGGCACCGAGGCCACGAGGCCAGACCCCCGTCTGCGCGAGCCCCGTGGCCGAGGAAGCGCAGACGTGGCCGGGGAGGCGCGCGGAGCAGCGCCGGGGCCCCGCTTGCCGTGCAGCCACGGCGCGGGGTCCGTCGCTAGGCGGCTCGGCGCTGGCCCCATGCCTCGGGGGGGGGCACACTCCCCGATCCGTGGTCCACGCCCTGCGCGCGCCCGGCAAGGCCAGGAACGCGCGGCAGGTTCGTGCCGCGTCGACCGGCGGCGGCCCAGGATCGGTCGAAGCGGAGCGATCGGGCGGTGCGCGAGCGGCCGACCGTTCACGGCGGAGCGATCCCCGCGGCGTCGGGAACTGGCGCCCGGGTGTCGACTGTCGACACGACACGCACCTGCCGCAGCGGGAAGGGGCGGAAAGACGCCCAGATTCAGGACCACTTAGCGTTCAGGAGGGGGTTCTCGGGCCATTCCTCGGATTTGGGTCGGGGGGCCTTTTGCGAAGGCCTTACGACCAGCGCCGCCGACCCTGAATGGCGACCACGACGACGACGACGACGACGACGACGACGACGACGACGACGACGACCACGACCACGACCACGACAACGACAACGACCACGACGACGTCGTCGTCGTCGTGGAGAAGGTACTCCCACTCGATCCTGGCAGCCTCCGCGCTGGCCCTCGCGCTCTACGCCACGCAGGCACCCTCGTCCGCCTTCGTTGCGCTGGTGGAGGACTTGTCGCTGCACTGCCCGGCGATGCCCGTGCCGCACGCCGAGATGGTGGGCGTTGCGCCCGACCAGCGCCCCTATCCCTGCCCTCCTGTCCGCCTCCCTCCTCCTCCTCCTCCCTCCATTCCTCCCTCCCTCCCTTCCTCCGTCCCTCCCTCCCTCCCCTTTTTCCTCATCTTCTGCTTTCTCCCTCCCTCCTCCTCCATCCCTCCTCTTTCAGCCGAGGCCCTTCTCCTTCTCCTCCTCCTCCTCCTCCTCCTTTTCCACTCCCGCTTCTCGTCCTCCTCGTCCTCCTACCTCCTCCTCGCTCCTCCTCCTCCTCCTCCTCACTGTCCTCCTCCTCCTCCTCCTCCTCCTTCTACTCCTCCTCCTCCTCCTTCTCATTTTCCTTTCCTTCTTCTCGTCCTCCTCCTCTTCTCCTGCTCCTCCTCCTCCTCCTCCTCCTCCTCCTTCTCCTTCTTTCCTCCATCCATGTTCCTCATAAGTAGCTCCTCCTCTCGCATCCCGAGACGTGTCGGTAGGGCGGGCCGGGCGTTTCCACCCGAGACTCTCTTCACCATCTTTGATCCTGAGGCTTCAGATTTAGAGTTGCAACAGCCTCACGGATGCATGGCGGGCCGTTTTCAGGATGGAATTCTCGCCTCGGCGCCGCACTCCTTCGTCCTGCAAGTCTGCCAGCGCTTCACGGCTGGGGGGGGGCGGCGGGCGGTTTCCAAAACGTGCTCCTCGCTTTACCTCAGGAGGGAAAAAAACACAGACACAATGAATCGTCAAGTTCCAGGAAAATATCGGAAAATATAGGAAGTGGGGGGGAAGACAAAAACCCAGAAAATATAAGAAAATATTTGGAATATTACCTAACAGCGAAGACTGATAGGTTTCTAGTGGGCTCAAAAGAAGCATCTTGACGCCCCAGGGGGGTTTGGGCGGGATCCGGACAGATCCGGACAAAAGGGTCAGCCCCAGGAATCCTTAGGAATCCTTAAGAATTCTTAGGAATCCTCAGGAATCCATTCCCAGAACACCATTCCCAGGCCACATTTTGAATGCCCGGAGCCAACTGTAGGCCAGTTCGTGTCCTTCGTGTTCCCAGAACACCATTCCCAGGCCACATTTTGAATGCCCGGAGCCAACTGTAGGCCACTTCGTGTTCTTCGTGTTCCCAGAACACCATTACCAGGGCACATTTTGAATGCCCGGAGCCAACGGTGGGCCACTTCGTGTTCTTCGTATTCCAAGAACACCACTCCTGTACTATATTTTGATTGCCCGGAGCCAACGGTGGGCCACTTCGTGTTCTTCGTCTTCCCAGAACACCAGTCCTGCGCCATATTTTGAATACCCGAGGGCACGCCGAGGCAGGCTGAGGCTGAGGCTGAGGCAGGCTGAGGCTGAGGCAGGCTGAGGCAGGCTGAGGCTGACGCAGGCTGAGGCCGAGGCAGGCTGAGGCTGAGGCTGAGGCAGGCTGAGGCTGAAGCAGGCTGAGACTGAGGCTGAGGCAGGCTGAGGCTGAGGCTGATGCAGGCTGAGGCTGAGACGCTGACGCTGAGGCTGAGGCAGGCTGAGGCTGAGGCTGAGGCCAAGGAAGGCTGAGGCTGAGGCAAGCCGAGGCAGGCTGAGGCTGAGGCTGATGCTGAGGCAGGCTGAGGCTGAGGCTGTGGCTGAGGCTGAGGCAAGCTGCGGCTGAGGAAGGCTGAGGCTGATGCCGGCTGAGGCTGAGGCAGGCTGAGGCTGAGGCTGAGGCCAAGGAAGGCTGAGGCTGAGGCCGAGGCAAGCCGAGGCAGGCTGAGGCTGAGGCTGATGCTGAGGCAGGCTGAGGCTGAGACAGGCTGAGGCTGAGGCTGCGGCAGGCTGAGGCTGAGGCAGGCTGAGGCTGAGGCCGAGGCAGGCTCAGGTAGGAATCCTTAGGATTCCCTAGGAATCCCTAGGAATCAGGATTCCGAAGGATTCCTAAGGTTTCCTAAGGATTCCTATGGATTCCCAAGGATGTCTAAGGATGCCTAAGGAATCCCTAGGAATCCTTAGGATTTCATTGGATCCTAAGGCCGTTGCCACTGCGACTGTCATTGCGCATGCGACTGCGACTGCGAGAACAGCAGAATTCTACAACTGGATTCTCACCTGAATATAAGGGGAATGCTTCCAGATATGCTTATACACATCGCTGTTAGGTTGCTTTGCCGGGATAACTTTTATTTGTGTGTATTTATTTGTGTGTCCTGAGGCCCCTTCATTACCGCCGCGCACAGTCGTCTCAAAGTCTGCGAGCGCTTCACGGATGGAAGACGCGCCGTGTTCAAGATGCGATTCCCGCCGTAGCGCCGCGCACCTTCGGCCTAAATCCTCGCAGGAGCTTCGCGGACGGGGGGCGGGTGGATTTCAAGATGCGGTTCTCGCCTCGGCGCCGCGCACAATCGTTGTAAAAGTTCGCAGGAGCTTCACGGACGGGGGGCGGCTGGATTTCAAAATGCGGTTCTCGCCTCGGCGCCGCGCACAATCGTTGTAAAAGTTCGCAAGGGCTTCACGGATCGAGGGCGGGCGGTCTTCGAACAATGGTCTTCGCTTTCAGCGCCGCGCGCACTCCTGTGGAAAGTACGCAACAGTTTGCAGGGTTCGCGTGGTTGACGTCTGAGGAATTGGTGTTCCGGAGGGATTTCGGGTTCTCAGGGCGCAACAGTCCCGCTGACTCGCGGTATTGAGATCCCAGGAACGGCGTTTTAGTGCGATTCGGGATCATCAGGGCGCAACAAGAGCGTGATTCGCAGCGCTGAGTTCCCAGGAATGCATGTTGGCACGATTCGGGATTCTCAGACGGTTGTCTTCCAACGGGGCACTTCGGCAGTGAGAAACACATGTTCCAGGGACCCATGAAGAGGGAACTTGGAGGAAGGGTTCATTGCAACATCGTTGCTGCGTCTTGGATTTACTCTGGTCCTCCTCCTCCTCCTCCTCCTCCTCCTCCTCCCCAGTCCCTGCTCTCTCCCCCCTGATCCCTCATCCGTCTCCCTCCTTCCCACCCCTTCCCCCTTTTTTCCTTCCCCTCCCCAGAGATCCGACGTCGTGATGTTTTCAATACGGGGTCACCAGAAGTCTCGATCCATTCCCTAGGACCAGTGTTCATCTTGAGACGTTCTTTGAGATCCCCGGGCCCGGCGAGAGCCCCCAGAGGCCGACAAGTGAGACAAATGTCCGTCTTTATGTTTTCAACACGTTGGATCCCTGAGTCCTCCGTGGCCTTTTTGGCTCGGTCCATCTTGGCTCAGGTCTGGCTCCCAGGCTGAAGTCGGGCGTGCCCCTCTACAGGAGGAATATTCAAAAGTAGTCCAAATATAGTCTGAGAGCGATGTTTTGAACATCCTTTTGATGAGTTTGGGGGCATTTGGGGGGCATTGTTTTGTCTTTCGTCCAAAATCTGCCTGTCGGGGGACGTGCCTGACCTGACGCTGGATCCCTGGGCCCTCCCGTGGCCTTTTTGGCTCGGGCCATCTTGGCTTGGGTTGGGGGGGTATTTGGGTTGTCGTCCAAGATCTGCCTGTAGGGGGACGTGCCCGACCTCACGCTGGATCCCTGGACCCTCCGTGGCCGTCTTGGTTTGGGCCATCTTGGCTCGGGCCTGGCTCCCGGGCCTGACAGGGCGGCGGAGGAGGACGGAGGAGGAGGAGGAGGAGGAGGACGGAGGAGGACGGAGGAGGACGGAGGAGGACGGAGGAGGACGGAGGAGGAGGAGGAGGGAGGAGGAGGAGGAGGAGGAGGAGGAGGCTGCCGGTGGAGAGGAGGAGGCGGAGGAGGAGGAGGAGGAGGAGGAGGAGGAGAGATGAGGGAGGAGGAGGAGGAGGAGGAGGAGGAGGAGAGGAGAGGAGGAGGAGGAAGGGGAGGGGAGGAGGAGGAGGAGGAGGAGGAGGAGAGGAGGAGAGGAGGAGGAGGAGAGGAGGGGGAGAGGAGGAGGGAGGAGGGAGAGGGAGAGGGATGAGGGAGGAGGGAGGAGGAGGAGGGAGGAGGGAGAAGGGAGGAGGGAGGAGGGAGAGGATGAGGGATGAGGAGTAGGTCGAGGAGGGAGGAGGGAGGATGGAGGAGGGAGGAGGAGAGGGAGGAGGGAGGAGGGAGGAGGGAGGAGGGGAGGCAGGAGAGGAGGAGGAGAGAGGCGGAGGAGGAGAGAGAGGAGGAGGAGGAGCAGGAGGAGAGGAGGAGAGGAGAGGAGGAGGAGGAGGAGGGGGGAGAAGGAGAGGAGGAGGAGGAGGAGTGGAGGAGGAGGAGGCGGAGGAGGAGGAGGAAGGAGGAGGAGGAGGAGGAGAGGAGGAGGAGGAGGGAGAGGAGGAAGAGGAGGGGAGTGAGGAAGGAGGAGGGAGGAGAGGAGGAGGAGGAGGAGGAGAGGAGGATGAGGAGGAGAGGACGAGGAGGAGGAGGAGGAGATGAGGGGGAGGTGGGGAGGAGGGAGGAGGAGGAGGAGGAGGAGGAGGAGAGAGAGGAGGAGGAGGAGGGCGGAGGAGAGGAGGAGAGGAGGAGGACAGAGGAGGAGGAGGAGGAGAGGAGGAGGGGAGGGGGAGGGGGAGGAGGAAGAGGACAGGAGAAAGAGGAGGAGGAGCAGGAGGAGGAGGAGGAGGGGGAGGGGGGGAGGAGGAGGGGGCTAGGGCTCTGGTCGTGACTTCTTGTGATGCTGCCACTTTGTCTTCGCTGTGCCGGATTCTCTCAGGGGAGGCGTGCCTTGGTGTCCAGGCCACGAGAGACCGGACGTGGCTGCCCATGTCCGGGGTACGTCTTGCTGCCGCCCCGGACCCTCACCCCTGGAGGTCCCTCGGGCTCAGGAGACGGGGATCAATGCAGATGGGGGTCAGCCAGGGCGCCGGATCTTGCAGGACCTTGCAAGGCCAGGGTCGCACGGACCCGGGACTGAGCGCAGGATCCTGCAGGATCCTTCGCATTGACCAGGGCTTGTGTGCAGGATTCTGCAGAATCTCGCAAAATTCTGCAAGGCCTGACTGGCTGACCCTCACCCCTGGAGGTCCCCAGAGTTACGTCGGGCTGCTTGTCCCTCTACAGGGGCAAAAATAGCAAGTAAATAGTCCTGGGACGACTTTTCTTTTCGCATTCTTGTCAATCGTGTTTGGCTATGTCTCATCTGTCGCCCAAAATCCGCCTGCAGGAGGAGAGGGCACGCCCGACCTGGCCCCAGAGGCCTCCGTAGGCCTCTGGGGGGCCGGCGGGGGCCCGTAGCGTCCCAGAGCTTCCCTGGGGCTCTCGGAGGTCTTCCCGCCTCGGGGTGCGTTCCAGCAGCTGCGCCTCGACGAGAGCCCCCCAGGTGCTTGGAGCGTCCCCAATTCGGTATCGTTTAACCGATCCCCATCCCCATCCCCATCCCCTTCGAGACCCCTACCAAATTACCCCCCCAATTGGGGATACACCCTTCGAAACCCGAAGGGGACGACCTATATCCCCATCTAGGGGGGTAAATCGGCCAATGGGGCCCAGGCCACGCCGCTGGGGATGGGGATCGGTTAAACGATACTCCCCAACGGCCGCCGGAAGCTTGAGTTGCGGCCGGAGACTTCCCCGGACATCCGACGGTGCGATTTTGCTAGTGCGCGGCCCCATGGGTCTCGACTCCTTCCCCCAGGGCAGGCTTTCCTCCCAGATCAGTTCTTTGCAGGGCCCCTGGGCTCCACAGCGGGCCCCCGAGAGGAGAGATCAAAAGAAACAGCGCCGTTTTCTACAATCGCATCGGTGGATATATCGAGAACGCGGATGATACGACCAAGCGATAAAGAAATGCCAGGGGTCCCAGCGTCCCACTGGCAAGTGGACGACTAAAAAACATGATTGGTTCGTCGTCGTCGTCGCTGTCGCCCTCGAGGCCGCCGGGCCGCGACGGGAACGAACCATGTGTTTAATCGTCCCTGCCCGATTTGTTCGTGGACCGCCTGGCAGCATTCTGCCCAGCGCCTGCGAGAGGTGGAGTGCTGCGACGCGCTGCACCAGCTGTGGATCCTCGGCGTGTCGTTCCACGAGCAGTACACGTTCACCAGGTACCTCTGGGCCAAGTTCTCGCGCAGCGGCAGGACGCCCGAGCCTCGTCGTCGTCGATCGACGTCGTCGTTGTCCCTCGTCGTCGTCCCTCGCCGTCGTCCGTCCTCGTCGTCCGTCGTCGTCCTTGGTCCTCGTCGTCGTCCCTCGTAGTCCTTCGTCGTCGTCGTCCCTCGTCGTCTGTCGTCGCGCAGCGGCAAGACGTGCGACAAGACCCCAGTCGCTGGGCGACGGGGGATGAGGACAGGAGGCTCGAGAGCTCGAGGGATCGAGGGCTCAAGGAGGAGGGGGGCTGGAGTGGCGTAGGGGGGGGCTCAGCTGCCCACAGGCCGCAAGCCATCTCGCTCACTCCCACCCGCCCTCCAAACACATAAGCCTCAGCAAGGGCAGGGGCTGCCATCGACAAACCGCTGGGAGCCAATGCAGACACCAGCCAGGTGCGCAAGGCCCGCGAGGCGCACCGCGCGTGCCAGAGCACCCCCATCATCCTTGCCAGAGAACAGTGCAGAGTGGACTAAAGATTGCGAAGGCCTTACGGCCGGTGCCGCCGACCCTGGAGGGCGACCCATGCGTTCTCGTATGTGGCGGGGGGGGCGTCGTATCTGAGTGGCGCCCCCCCCCCGGGACCCCCCCCGGGACCCCCCCCCAGGACCCCCCCGCTACCCCCCCCCCCCTCCCGGCGGGGGAGGGATCAAAGGGAAGGGGCTTCCCTTCGACTCAAATACGACGTTGCTGAAGTTCATTTGGGCTGGCGCGCTTGAGCAGGGGCCCCTGCTGGGAAAGAGGACGGGAGTGGCGACGGGCCCACGGAAAGGGAGGCGCAAGGAAGGGGGACGACAGAGACGACGACCAACGAACAACGGGGATGACGTCTCGAACGGAAAAGCCCCTCACACACGCCGACAGGGTCGGCGGATTTTGCCATGACGTGCGATTGGCACTGGTTTTTGAAAGGAATGGTGCGCAGGCACACGCAGGGCAATATGCTATCCACCCCCTCGTCCTTATCAAAAAACTATGTGAAGTGATCGCGGGGTGCCCGAACATGATCCAGATATTGCCGCAAAGCGCATGTTGTGTTTGTCCATGATATGGCAGACGACATGGATGGCGGGGAGTGCCCGCATTAGCCCTGGTTAGGGGCCAGTAGAATGGGAAGGGGGGTGTATACTAGTCAGGAGCAGCAGTGGTGACCCACTCCTTGAGGGGAAAAGAAGGGTGTTTGGAAGAGTTGACTCGCTGAACCACCTGCGAGGACTGGTAGGATTGAAAGCAGATCCCGGTGGGGAGCTACGAGCTGCTCCGTCCGCGGCAGCCGACGGACGACGCCAGGAATCCTCAAGGCAGCGGCGGAAGGACGCGTGCGCCGGCACCGCCTGTTGCCACTCCTTGCCAGCGGCGACGTGGGGCACGAAGCGTCAAGCAGCAACAGCCAGGACGGAGCTCATAGAGCAGGCACGTCGAATAAGAAATAATAAATTATTCACTGCGTGGAGCTCCCCATATGTGCATCTATTCGCATGGACCTGTCCGCCGTGAATGTCTAGAGTCTAGGCGCAAGAGCTTTGAATATAAACGGGCTTCAGTTGTGGCGGTCTGGTCACGAATCTAACTGCGAATGAATTGGAGTGTGAATGAGCCTCAGTAGTACGAGCGCGTCTCTGCGCATGAGCCTGGGGCCTCCTGGGGCCTCCTGAAACCTACTGGGGCTTCCTGGGGCCTCCGGGAGCCTCTTGGGGCCTCCTGGGGCCTCCTGGGACCTGCCAGGGAGGCTTCGTGCCCCAGGAGAGGCCCAATCTGCAACCGACGTACATAAATCATTGCGGACTGGAGCCATATTTTTTTTTGTACACACCAGGCAGCTCGTGCGACACGAGCCGATCCCGCCGCCAAAATGGCGCGAGCCGCAGAGTGCGGCAAGGAGGCCCGCAAACAGCGGCCTCCAACATGCAGCGTGCACGCCACGCTGCGTGGGTATGCGCCGTCGGGTGAGGCAGCCACGCGAGCCACCATCCACCCCGTGCCAAGCCTGAAAAGGCCTAGACCACCGAAGGCACTCCCCAAATCACTCACTCAGGCGCCTGCCCGTCTTCGGGTCCAGGCCTGCCCTGATGTTGGCAATCTTCAGGTTGCGCAGGCGCAGCGCGTTGCCAGAGGCCGCAACGCACGACTTGCCGAGCGACCTGTGCTTGCCGTTGAGCTCTTTGGCATAGGCCTTGCACCGAGCGCAGATCCTGAAGCCGTTGATGCTGAGCAGCGCGTGGCCTGCCCCACCATCCGCCTGGGTGCCTGATCCCTCGGGCACGTCCACCTGCATGGAGTCCTGGGCGACCTCGGGGCCTGCACTTGCCTGGCTGTCGGCGGGGCCCGCCTCCGCCCTGCCCTCGGCCTCGCGCGCAGCACGGGCAGCTGCCACCGCGCGCAAGAGGGCAGCCCCAGGCGAAAGATCCTGGCCACTGCTGCTGCTGCTGGTGCCACCGCCTGCCGCCGCCGCCGCGGGGCGCTGCACAGCCCGCGTGCCCGCAGCAGGAGGCTCGCGGACGGCGTCGGCAGGGCTCAGCGCGTCCTGCTGGAGCTCGGACTCGGGGGCCGCCGCGTGCTCGCTGACATGAGCGCTCAGCGCCTCCTGCTCGAGCCTGTGCGCAGCCGCCAGCGCCACCGCCACGGCACCTGCGGAAGCCAACGCCGACGCCGCAGGCTTACGCCTAGTGCCACTAGCCACGGGCGCAAACGGCTTGGCCGCACACGGGTCCTTGAGCAGCCGCTTGATGCTGAGGTCCGTGTACGCCGTCTTGAGGCAGGCCCTGCAATGGACTCCACCTCTCGCCACCTTGACTACGTTGTGCTTGGTGACGCTGAGAGGTGGCCCCTTGTGAATCGGCTTGCAATTCGGGTCGATGTCCAGCTTCAGGTCAGCTGCCTCGCACCCCGCACGCGCAACCCAGTGCACAACTCCGTCGAGAGTGAGCGACCGCCGCTGCCAGGCTTCGCGAATCTCAAGCGGCGCCCTCACTGCTGCTGCAACCACCTTCGCCGTACGGTCGGCCTCCCAGTTGCCTCGCCTGTCGCGGGCAGTGATGTCTCCGTTGCGGACCATGGCCGACGTGGCGTGCGCTTTCACCTTCTGAATCGTGAGCCCTTGGGGCCCAATGCCACCGAAGTCGTCCAGAGCTGCCCAGACGCGCCTCCATATACACCCCCAGGCAGAGGTCGCCTTGCTAGTGCTGGCTTCGCCCCTATCCGTCAGGCCCTTGGTGACGTACGAGGCGTCGAAGGCCGCAGTGATAGGTGGCAGGCTGTGGCGGAGAAGCACCAGGCACCCCAGGAGCTCGGCCCCGTCGATGGACTGCAAAGGCCCAGGCAGCGGCGTGCCCAAAGCCTTGACGGCCGACTCGGGTCCTGGGTCCCAGTCGTCGCCGCCGTCAGGCAGCTGCACCATGCCGCATGCCCCCACCGCCAGAGAGGTCCCAGCCTCGTAGACCGCTCCGTCTGAGTAGACCGTGGTGTCGGAAAACGGGAACCCGTCGCCGCCCTTGGTCCACTGCACGTGCGCGAGTAGGTCGTCACTTGGTGGGCGCCACGCGTGAAGGGGCTCGGGCAAGACCAGCCTTTCCAGCAACGTAGTAATGGTCACGCTGGTGCTGAAGGGAACAAGTTTGCTGACCTCGGCAGGGGGCGTCAGGCTCGGCCAGCTGTCCTGGCAGGCCGTATGCCTGTGCCAGAGGGTGCCAGGCTGGCCAGGGTGCAACTGGCAGCACGGCGTGTGGGCGATCCTCGGGGCTCCGTGGTACCGCCTGCTGTTAGGCCACTGCCCGAGGACAAAGACCGAGCGCGCGTACCCCCGCTGGCTGCTGTTGAGGGGCTCCCAGTCCTTCGCCAGGTAAGAGCTCCCAACACCCTTGGCGAACCAGCGCCGCAACTGCGGAAGGAAGATGCCACTACGAACGTCCTCGTGAGTGCCGTCTGCCAGGAGCTTCATCTGCCACGCCCTCACGTCCAGCGTGATACACTGCTTGGCGTACCATGGGGAGACCTCCAGAAAGTTGATGATCGTACCGTTCGGCCTGACAATGCAGTCTAGCGCCTTAGGGTCGTAGCCTATCCTCTTCAGCGACATGACCACCGCTCCGAGCGGACCGCGTACATCAGCCCAGCATGTAGCCGAGTTGGCCGCCCACTCGAAGGCTGGCTTGAGCTGCACGAGTGGCACCCACTTCTCCCACACAGCGCGCGCCAGCGTGAAGAAGGGCGCCAGCGTCGCCGCGAACAGAGGGTGGATGGTGGGCGATCCTCCCACCAGCAAGCACGCCGTGAGCGACTTCCCGTGGGGATTCGGCTCGATGGCGTGCCGCACCATGCTGCGCGCCTGCTGCAACTCCGTGTTGTTGAGCCCCGTGCAGTTGATGCCGTAGAAGAGGCTGGGAGCTAATCCTGTCGAGACGATCTTAGCCGCAGTGGCCCTGCCTCGACGAAGTCCCAGTAGCCGTCTGATGCGAGGAATGCGGAGTCGGTTCTGAGCGATGCGGTGCCGCCTGACGACGCTAGACCTCCTCCCGCCCTCCGTGTAGTCGATACCGAGATTGCGCACCTCCCTGACCCCGATTGCACCTGTGGTCGGGCCCAGGTGCTTCTGGAGAGTGGCCCTCAAACTCCTGCTGCTGGCCAGAACGCGCGACTTCTTGACGGCAATGGACAGGTGGACCTTCGCCAGCCCCTTAACCACCGCCTTTGCAGCCATGGTGAGATCTTTGGCAACTCGCTTCGACCCTCCCCACCGCTGCAGCACAACGTCGTCGACCATGACGGCAGGGGCCACCGTGGGGCAGGCGATCTTCAACTCGTCGAGCGGCGAGAGGAGCATGACCTTCATGAAGGTAGTGGCGAAGGCGTCGCCAGCCAACACCGTCTGCATAACCAGCAGCTCGTCAGAGCAGCACGTCTCCCGGCTGATGACCCTGGGGAGGCGGTAGAGAGAGACCTGCAGCTTGGCCAGCCACAGTGGAAACTTGTGCAGCACGCACGCCTGCAGCAGATTGCCGTGCAAGATCTGCTCGAAGGCCTTCCACAGGTCCATCATTATCGACGCCGAGGCCCAGTCCTGACTCTTGTTCAGCTCGCCCATCATCTGGACCCATTCTGCACGAGCCTGCTGCTGCCACACCGCTCTGTCGCAACTCTTGCCCGAGCTGGCCCACCAGTAGTCCCTGTCGTGCGACGC